GTAAGATGTCCGGCCTGTTTCATCTTTTCTCCTCGCATTTCTCTCGTCAATGTGTGTGTCGCATCATTGTCCGCATCGGCCTCTTCAACCATCCCCCCTGAGAGGTACACAAGAGACCCTCGGAGAGAGAGAGAGAGAGAGAGGAGAGAGAGAGAGGTCCCGCCTGAGAGGTCAACCAAACAATTCAATACAAAAGGGACTCACACACGAAACCTACAATAAAAAAAACAAGTCGATTTTATATGTGTATATTATATGTATATATATACATATATAATGGAATAGAACAAACGACTGACGAAACACTGGCCTGCACTGAAACAGCCAAAAACAAGTCTAACAAAATAAGTATAAGCATCAGGAATGGAAAAAGCTAGACGAATCAACAGCTCCAAGCTACGTCGCACACCCGCTCCACTTTTGATCACAATAAAAAGCCGCATCCGCTGACGAAACACAGGCCTGCACTGATGAAGACAACAGGCGACCCCTGGGCGGATCGAGGAAGGGACCCGCCCCAAAAAACCTCGGATCCGAAAAGGTGGCCCGAGACCTGTTCCTCCTCCGCCTTCCGCCGTCCCTCCACTTCTCCATCCCCGTCTCCCTGCTTTCCCGCTGCCTCTCTGTTTCTCATTAGGGGGCCGCGTGCGAACCCCTACCCCTACCCCCCACGATTTCTGAGGGGGAGGGTGGGGGTCGCTTCGCTCGGGAGCTCCCGAGCGAAGTGAACCCCACCGTCCCCCTCAGAAATCGGAGGGGGCAGGGGTAGGGTTCGCACGTGGCCCCCTTCTCATCCTCCCCGCCCAAGCCCACTCCCCCCCTCCTGCCCTTCCTGCCCTTACCAGCCTGGGACATTTCCCTATCCCTATGCTAGGCACCTCCTCATCACGACGCCATTCTTAGGGATTCCCTTACTTTTTGAGGGCGGATCCCTAAGATTGTCATCGCCTTTTGGCGGGTCAATCTTAGGGATAGGGATACGTTCGAGGCTGGTAATGCCCCCGAACGAAGTGAACCCCACCCTCCCCCTCAGAAATCGTGGGGGGTAGGGGTAGGGTTCGCATGTGCCCCCCTACCTATCGGGCCGCAGGAAACACAAGGAACACACAAGGGGTAGGGTACGCACGTGGCCCCCTTCTCATCCTCCCCGCCCAAGCCCACTCCCCCCCTCCTGCCCTTCCTGCCCTTACCAGCCTGGGACATTTCCCTATCCCTATGCTAGGCACCTCCTCATCACGACGCCATTCTTAGGGATTCCCTTACTTTTTGAGGGCGGATCCCTAAGATTGTCATCGCCTTTTGGCGGGTCAATCTTAGGGATAGGGATACGTTCGAGGCTGGTAATGCCCCCGAACGAAGTGAACCCCACCCTCCCCCTCAGAAATCGTGGGGGGTAGGGGTAGGGTTCGCATGTGGCCCCCTACCTATCGGGCCGCAGGAAACACAAGGAACACACAAGGGGTAGGGTTCGCACGTGGCCCCCTTCTCATCCTCCCCGCCCAAGCCCACTCCCCCCCCTCCTGCCCTTCCTGCCCTTACCAGCCAGGGACATTTCCCTATCCCTATGCTGGGCACCTCCTCATCACGACGCCAATCTCAGGGATTCCCTTACTTTTTGAGGGCGGATCCCTAAGACTGTCATCGCCTTTAGGCGTGTCAATCTTAGGGATAGGGATACCTTTCGAGGCTGGTAATGCCCCCCCCTCCCATTTGGACACCCGAAATGGGTACCCAAAGAATGGGTACAATGCCCAACAACAAGTGTTGCCCCAAACCAACAGCGGCCGCTGTTGGGCGGGCGGCCTCCTGTCTCGAATGGACACAGGCCGCGGCGGCGTGGACAGCGAGTCCTGTTCAAAATGAACAGGAACTGTTGTTGGGCATTGTACCCATTCTTTCAGTACCCATTTCGGGCGTCCAAATCCCCCCCCCGCGGGCCCGAGGCGCGGCGCACGCGTGGCCCGGCGTGTCCGCCAGCGCGAGGATGACGCAGAGCTGCGGCCCCAGCGCGGCCGCCTGGGGCGGGGGGGGGGCGGGAAGGGAGCGGGGAGGGGAGGAACGGGGGAGGGAGGAGGCAGGGATGCAGGAGGGAGGGCGAAGGGACACGGGGAGAGGGATGGAGGGAGGGAGGCGAAGGGAGGGGGGGCGGGAAACCAGGGGGGGGAGCTGGGAGGGGAGGGAACGGGGGAGGGGGAAGCAGGATGGCAGGACTTGAGCCATCATAGCTTACAGTGAGAGCAACACAGGGAAAGGGAGGGACGGGGGGGGGCGGGAAGGGAGCGGGGAGGGGAGGAACGGGGGAGGGAGGAGGCAGGGATGCAGGAGGGAGGGCGACGACACGGGGAGGGAAGGAAGGGAAGGGACTGGAGGGGACGGGGGAGGGGCCGCCTGGGGCGAGGGGGGCGGGAAGGGAGCGGGGAGGGGAGGAACGGGGGAGGGAGGAGGCAGGGATGCAGGAGGGAGGGCGAAGACACGGGGAGGGAGTGAAGGGAGGGGGAGGGACGGGAGGGGGCGGGAGAAGAGACAGGCACGGGAGTGCGAGAAGGGGGGCGGAGACGGCGATGGGGAGAGGGGTAGCCAGAATGAGTTCAAAAAAATGGGGGGATGGGATGGCGGGGGGCGATGGGAAACCTGGGCGTTGTATGAGGATCAGAAAGACCATAAAGACTATAGGTGTCATGGGGATGATAGGAATACTGGGATCGGGGGAGTGCTGAAGGGGATGAGTAGAGCGACGGGACATGATGAAAAAGATTGGGACGGCAATGGGGACGGGGAAGGGGACGACGACGAGCATGGGGACAGCGATGGGCATGGCCATGGACAGGCATGTGTTTGACATCCACGGCCAAGGACCCCAATCACACGGGGCAGAAAAATATGACGGGTCGACAGTGACTTCGGATCTCTTCGGATGAAGTCCTTTGCCGAGCTGTCTCCGATTCTCGCTCTTGCGCGGATCAGCGAGACGAATACACGTCGTCGCCAATGTATCGAAGTGAGCACCGGATGCGAAGCAACCGCAGCGTTGGCAAATACACACAAACGAACCGTCGCTGCAGCCTAGTGTACGACCCTACCTTGTTTGGACAGCATGGTCCCAAGAGGTCAAAGACCGCGACGACGCTGCAGCCACTGACAACGACGGCGAAGACGACAATGACGGCGTCGCGAGCGGCGGCGGCGGCGAAGATGCTACTGACGACGACGACGACGACGACGACGACGACGACGACGACGACGCCGACGCCAACGCCAGCGACGACGACGACGACGACGGCGACGACGGCGACGGCGACGGAGGCAACGGCGACGGCGACGGCGACGGCGATAGCGGCACGGGAAATCGCGGCAACGACCACGCGAAGACGAGGGGCGACGACAACAACGATGGCGGCGGCAATGGTGAAGCGGCGGCGCTGGCACAGAGGAGTGCGGCGACGAAAATCACGAGCTCATCGCGTCCCCCCGCCCTCTCAGCCGCCTCCTGCGCCGCCGCCTCGGCTGCGACAGCGGAGGTGTCGATCTTGGTGTCCTGCGCTCAGACATGCGAAGCGGCGCGAGACGACTCCCAGCGCACCCGTGAGGGCGCCCGCGCACGAGGCTGGGAGTGGGCGCCGAGACGCCACACATTCGATCACCAGGAGCACACGTCTGCATTTCCCCGTTGCACGAAACTGCTACCACAAACTGCTGTCAAACATGCGGGTGGGGGGAGGGAGGCCCGGACTTCTTCATGGGGGAATTGGCACATGAGAGCGTCTTTCCATGATATGCGATGGCGGCCCTGATCGCCGCCGCAAGACCCCCCCGTTTCTGAAAACGTCACGTTTCGAACTGACTCCGTCTGGAAATGCCTGAGAATAGCTAACGGCAGCTAGGAATAGCACGCACGCGAGGACCTGCGAGGGGCCGCTGCGAGCAGCAGACTCAGTGCCTTCGTGGAGGGCTGGCGCGTGAGCAGCAGCACAGGAGGTAGAGCACACGCGCTGGGCAGCTCGCTGAGGCAACGATCGCGAGAAGCGGCCGCGGGCAAACGTACACGCACTGCACTGCGGTGGGTTCGTCACGTGACGACTTCGGCGATGGCTTCTGACACCGCGTGGGTCGTTCGGCCTCGAGGCACAGGCGGGTCTCCGATCGCCTTAGGAGAGCTCCAAACAATACACCACCGGCAACCCTGGCCAGGCCCACCCTGGGCCCTGGACTGGTGTACAGGCCCTCCTGGCCCACGCCTGGAGGTCTGTAAACCACTGGAGGGCCCAGGATATGCCTTGCAGTAGGGAGGAGGAGGAGGAGGAGGAGGAGGAGGAGGAGGAGGAGGAGGCGGAGGGGAGGAGGAGGAGGAGGAGGAGGAGGAGGGAGGAGGAGGAGGAAGGAGGAGGGAGGAGGAGGGAGGAGGAGGGAGGGGGGAGGAGGAGGGAGAAGGAGGAGGAGGTGGCTTATGTGTATGCCGCTGTGCTGTGGCAACTCATGGGGGACTCTCGTGCCATCTTGCTGGCTCTTGCGAGACGACGCGAAGCGACGCTGATCGACGCCAACCGACGCTAGGTGCCAATCGACGCTCAATCGGGACTTTCTCATCGACTGCCAGACGCTAGCGCGCGCTAGTGCACCCAAAGAACTGGATACCGAAGACACGCAGGGCTCCACTGATTTGCTACCACATTCTTCGACGCAAGCCGTCGCCAGGAAGCCCACGGGAGACGCTCGCGCCCAACCACGCACATGAATACGGCCCTCCAGTCCGCGAGAGCCGCCTCGCGATACCAACGTTCGCGCAATGCTTACTATCGCAGCCGACGTGGGTTCACGAGATGAGTTGCGTGCATTGGGAAGTCGAACCTGATCGTTCGCCTTCCCAGTACACGAGGAGGAGGAGGAGGAGGAGGACGAGGAGGAGGACGAGGAGGAGGAGGACGAGGACGAGGAGGAGGAGGAGGAGGAGGAGGAGGAGGAACCTGCGTGCTCGCACGATCGCTCCTGCGATGTGCTCCTGAGATGAACTGCGTGCATTGGGAGGCCGAACCTGCTCGAGCTGCGTGCTTGCGCGCCCGTTGGGAAGCCGAACCTGATCGCTCGCCTTCCCAGTACACGAGGAGGAGGAGCAGGAGGAAGAGGAGGAGGAGGACGAGGAGGAGGACGAGGACGAGGAGGAGGAGGAGGAGGAGGAGGAGGACGACGAGGAGGACGAGGAGGAGGAGGACGAGGACGAGGAGGAGGAGGAGGAGGAGGAGGAACCTGCGTGCTCGCACGATCGCTCCTGCGATGTGCTCGGCCGCGCGCCGCGCCGCGCTCGAGACAGCGGGGCGCAGCGGCCACGCCACGCTCCGCGCCCGGCCGCGGCGCGCCGCGCGCGCCGCGGCCGGGCATGCCGCGCGGGAGCAGCACGGGCAGGGACGAGGCGCTCCGCGGCGGAGCCACGCCGAGGGGGGGGGGGGGGGGGGCAGGAGCAGCAGGAGAGAGGGGAAGAGGAAGGAGAGGGGGAGGAGCATCGCGGAACGGGAATGGGGTCCATGACGAAACCTTTATATAGATGTATGATACATGTATATAGCACAAAAAGAAAGAAAAACAAAAAACAAAAAGAAACGAGTTTGGATCACACATTGGGCCGCAGGCCCGTGTTACACCGACTCGAAAGTCACGCAGCGCCTTGGAAGCGCCCAGAGTTTCACACGGTCTGGCCAGCTTGTGCATGACGAGCTGACCAACAAGAACAACAGCAACCCCAAACAACAACAACAACAACAACAACAAAACACGCATGTGACTAGAACAGAGTCGCACACCAGAACTCGGCAATCCAGTCCTCGCTAGCCCAAGCACCAGAAACCTGACGGGGGGGGGGGGGGGGGGGGGCGGGGCGGAAACGCCCGATGGGTACTCCAGATTTCGTAATAAAAGGGAGGGGGTCTGGACCCTCCAAGACAAGCCATTTCAGACCTCCCCCGTGGGAGAACTCTCCAAAACATCGCCCCCAGACCCCCCCAGGCCCTCCAAGATAGCCTGGAAGAGACCCCCCCCCGAAATGAGACCCCCCTCCCTTTATTACGAAATCTGGAGTATCCTGAGCGAGCTCCCCCCGAGCGGACCCCAAACTCCCGCGGAGGCCCGAGCGCGCTCCCCGCCGCCCCGAGCTCCGAGAGCGCTGCGCGGGGCCCGCCGTGGACGTCCCCCGGCGCACGCCGTAGGCGGAGCAGCGGCATCGAGCACGCCCGAGGCCCGAGACCCGTCGAGCTGGTGCACGGACGAGAGAACAGCGCATGGGGCGGCGGCGGGGGGAGGAGGAGGAGGAGGAGGAGGAGGAGGAGGAGGAGGAGGAGGAGGAGGAGGAGGAGGAGGAGGAGGAGGAGGAGGAGGAGGAGGAAGAGGAGGAGGAGGGGGAGGAGGAGGAGGAGGAGGAGGAGGAGGACGAGGAGGAGGAGGAGGGGGGGGAGCGGGCGGGGGCAAAGCTGAAGGGGCCCTGGGACACACAATTTCGCCGGCCCAACGGGCCAGAGGCGTGCTAAGGTCTCCGGTAACTGGTTAACAGTATCTCTAGTTCGCGCACGCGGGGCAGCCCCTGGGGGTCCCCGGACGGAAAGTACCCCGGGCGATCCCCGACCGACCCCCGAGCGATCCCCGGGAGACTCCCCCAGAGCGCTCCAGGAGCGCTCCAGGAGCGCACCAACAGGGCTCCGAGACGTCCCCGAAACCCTCAAGACGGGTCCAGATGCCCCCAAGACGCTCCCAAGATGGTACACAAGGGTTCCGAGATGCCACATGATCGCTCCAAGACGCCCAAGATGGCCCCCAGACGCCCCAAGAGGCCTCCAAGAGCACTCCCAAAAGGGCCCCAAGAAGCAAAAGTCATAGCTTTTCCGTAGGATAGTTTCCCAAATGTTCTTGGGAATCGACGATTACTTGTGTCTGTGTGTGTTTTTCCCTCCTGAAAAGCAACCGCACGAGGAGGAGCGGGGGGGGAGGAGCGGGCGGGGGCAGTGAGGCGCTCAGGCGCATGTTCGATCCGACGGACCTGAGCGGAAGCCTCCATCGCAGCCAGCGTGGATCTCACAAAACGCCTTCGCACAACCTTCCCATGTGTCCAGCCTCCGCCACCCAGGAACGGCCTGACAGCGAAACTTGGAAATCCGAGGGGCATCTTTAGACAATTCATCTGCGGCCTCGTTACCTGCGATCATCCAGCTGGGGCAACGCATAAACTAAGGCTCGGACGGGGCGACGTGAGAGGGAGCCTCGAACACCACAACAAAACCGACGCGAGCAATCATCAGCCGACCGATATCTTGCCATATGGCAGCGAGAGCACCCGTGGGCCGTAAATAGACTCGAGCGTGCCACCCACGAGCGACTTCCTCATTACCCGTGGAAGTCACGAAAGCTTCAGCAGCGAGTCTGGTCGCGAGCTCCAGCCCGCGAAGCTCGCCCCTGGGAACAGATTGAGATATCCCAACAAGTGGCACCAGGACAACAGGACCGATAACAAACGCCTCCCTCGATAACGTGAGAAATTACCAACCCCAACTCTTCGCATCCTCTCATGGGGGTGACGATCCAAGCGAGTTGCCCGTGTTGGGCCCTTTTTGGACCCTCGGAGGCCTCTCGAGACCTCCGAAGGGCCTTCCAAGACAAAGCAGAAGCAACAAGCACAGCATGAAATCCATGCTTGACCACACCAGATTTGCAAAGGGGGGTATATCAGGAAGGGTAGCATCGCCGTCTGAAGGGCAGCTCCAATAATGTCAGCGCCTTACGTACAATCATGAAGCCTAACGACGTGGACGGCGTCATGGCGAAATGCGGTGGGAGGCAAGCGCAACATCAGCAGAACCAGGAGGGAACAACCATCCACACGAGGCACTTTGAAACGAACTCCAGGGCGCCCCAGTTGCAGCGCCACCCACAAACAGCGCCATCGGTAGCAGAAACAAGCGGATCGCCTCTCTATGCAGTGGCGGTGAAAAAAAACGCTGACGGCGCAAGGTCGGAGTCAAAGAGGCCCCCCAAGACCCGACAGGGCAGTCGAACCTGCGTATGGCACCGTCCACATCTCCTCCATGGCTAGGCGGACCAATTGGCTGGCAAGCCCGACCAAGCCTGTGTTCCCGCTTTGAAGACGGAAGACAGACAGCAATGGGCACAAATCATCAGCGCCAATCCCACCAAGCCCACGGCCAGGTACATGAGCCCGGCGACCAGGCCAGGCCCGTCGTAGCCTCAGCGCAGTGGCTACACGAACGGAGAAGGCCAAAGGGGCGGAGGCGGACGCGAAGGAGGAGGGAGCGGGGTTGTGGCCGCGGCCGCGGCGTTGGTGGATCCGCCTCCGTCTTCTTGGGGTTCGCCTCGCGGATGCGGCGGCACGCCACGACCTGCGGCGCTCCACCTCCTCCTCCTCCTCTTCCTCCTCCTCCAATTCCCCCTCCTCCACCTCCTCCTCCTCCTCCTCCTCCTCCTCCTCATCCTCCTCCTCCGCCTCCTCCTCCTCCTCCTTCGCATCCTCATCCTCCTGAGTCCTCCCGCGTCCTCTGTCCTCCTTCGGCTCCCCTCATCCTTTCCCGTCCTCGTCTGGCTCCCCTTCCCTCAGACTGCCATGCTCATCCACCTCATACGCTTACTCATCCTCCTCATCCCTCCTCCTTCCTTTATCCCCATCCAACATCGTATAGATGCCTCGTCCTCTGGACCCTCATCATCGTCACCATCGCCACCACCAACAACAACAACAACAACAACAACAACATCATCATCATCATCAGCATCATCATCATCATCATCAGCATCATCATCATCATCAGCAGCAGCATCATCATCACTATCAGCATCAGCATCAGCATCAGCACCATCAGCATCAGCATCAGCATCATCATCAGCAGCATCATCAGCAGCATCATCTTCATAATCAGCATCATCATCTTCATCATCATCAGCAACACCCTGATCCGCACAATAATCATCATCATAATCGACATCCAGCAGCAACATCATCAGCATCATCATCATCATCATCATCATCATCATCAGCATCAGCGTCATCATCATCACCAGCAGCAGCATCATAAGAATCCGCATCATCATCCTCATCATCATCAGCATCATCAGCATCATCAGCATCATCGTCATCGACAGTAGTATCGTCATCATCAAGATCATCGTCAGCATCAGCATCGGCAGTATCACTATCAGCATCATCAAAATCGGTTTCATCATCAGCATCATCATAATCATCAGCAGCATCATCATCCTCATCCTCATCATCATCAAAAGCAGCATGATCAAATGCATCATCCCCATCAGCATCACCATCATCTTCATCGGCATCACCATCATCATCAGCATCGTCATCATCATCAGCATCAGCCGCAGCATGAGCATAAGCATAATCCTCATCCGAATCATCATCATCATGCTCATCCTCAACATCATCATCAGCAGCATCATCACCATCGTCATCAGCAGCCGCATGAGCATAAACATCATCAGCATCATATTCGTCATGATCATCATCAGCAGCAGCATGAGCATAAGCATCTTCATCAGCAGCATCATCATCAAAACCAGCATCATCATCATCATTACCATCATCAGCAGCCACAGCATCAGCAGCATCATCATTAGCAGCATCACCCTCATCAGTATCCTCATCATAGTCAGCATCATCAGCATCATCACCAAAATCAGCATCATCATCATCACCATCCTCATCATCAGCATCATCACCAGCATCATCATCAAGATCACCATCACCATCATCATCATCATCAGCATCATTAGTATCATCAGCAGCATCATCAGCAGCATCAGCAGCATCAGCATCAGCATCAGCATCGGCATCGGCATCATCAGCAGCAAAATCATCATCATCATGACTATCGTCACCATCATCATCATCATCATCATCATCATCATCATCAGCATCATCATCATCACCATCACCATCACCATCATCACAAGCACCATCACCACCACCATCTTCATCATCACCACCACCACCACCACAACCACTTCCACTCCCACCCCCTCCTCCTTCTCCTTCTACTCCTCCACATCCTCATCCCTCTCCTGCTTTTGCTCCTCAAAATTCCTTTTCCTCTTCCCTCACCATCCTCCCCTGTTGTTTGTCATTTTGCCTCCTGTCTCGTTCTTTCCTCCCTCTTGCCCTCCTTCGGTTGCTCCTCCTTCTCCGTGGATCGCAGGACCATGTCAACCGACAAGCTACCTGCCAGAAACCGAACAACCGAGGATCTCGAGAGAATTAACCTGATGCTGCCATCCTGCTGATTCGGACTCACACGGAAACCAAGACAGATCAATCAAAGGTGGCCCAATCTGGTTAGACCAGGACGCAGTTGGAAAGAGACAGAAAGGAGGGGAAAAAAAGAGAGATGAGGGGGGGCGTTAAAGCGGGACTGGCTCCAAATGGGGAACATTAACATGAAGTCGGCGATGCATCGCCGATGGATCGGCGATGGGCCCCCCGATCTCGAGTCAGCACGTCCACGGGCGGGGGGCGGGCTGCTGGGCCCCTTACAGGCGACGAGTGGGCGATCCGGGGCCGATGCACTCCCTCTCTGATCCTGCCCCCCCTCTTTGGACGCCCGAGCTATCCGGGGTAACTCGGGTCCTGGGTAACTCGGGTTTGGGTTCCCGAAAAGCGAACCCGAGCTAGCCCTGACCCGAGTTACCCCTGATGATTCGGGGCTCTGGACGCCCGAGTTATCGGGGGTAACTCGGGCCCGGGGTAACTCGGGTTCGGAATCCCGAAAAGCGAACCCGAGTTAGCCCTGACCCGAGTTACCCCTGATGATTCGGGGCTCTGATGGTTGGCGAGCAGAACTTGGCTCTCCGGCGGCCGTTCGGGGCAGTCCGGGGAACCCCCGAAGCGCCCTCGGCGAGGCGCAGCCCGCTGAAGGCGTCCCGAGGCTAGAAAAGCGCCGGGAACCGACGAAAACGTCCGAAAGCTTCGGACCTCGAGTCTACCCCCCCCCCTTACGTTGAGCCTAAAGACAGCAAGTACACAACGAACGCGGAGCGCCCAGGCGACGCCCAGCACACGAGCGTGCCGCTGCGTGTCAGAGGCGTGCGGGCGCGCGAGTGCTCGCGCCCCTCGACCACGGGAGCCGGAAGTGCGGGAGCGCGCCTCTCCCAAGCCTTAAGTCGGGCGTGTCCCCCTACAAGGGGATTTCCGACGAAAAAACAGAATACTCAAAAAATATCCCAAATGATCAAACATTCAAAAAATAGTCCCCATACTATCTTTTTACTATTTTTTGATTATCCTCCTGTAGAGGGACGGGCCCGACTTAACCCAAGCCTGCCCCCCCCCGCCACTGCTGAGGAGGGACGATAGGGGGGACTCAGACCTGGGAGAACATCGCCGTGGCATCGGCGCGGCACATCGCCGATAAACCAACGATGGACCCCCGATAGCGAAACCGAACGTTCCTGCGGAGGGAGGGCCACCAGGCCCCCATCGGCGATGAGCAGACGTCTGGGGGTCAATACCCGTCAACGTCCACGTCAACGTCAACGCTGCCTCTGAACCGTCCACGACTGGGGGCCAACGTCCACGTCAACGTCAGCGTCAACGATTGGGGGTCAATACCCGTCGACGTCAACGTCCCCCAAAAAGAGAAAAGTTGAAATGAAAGATCCTGCCACTTAAGGGATAAAATCATACATGATAAGTTATTGTGCCTGCCATGCAAGTGGTCGCCTAGTCCTTGGGATAGGCGTTGCATCAGTAAGCACGTCTTCCTTTCCATTCTGAAGAATCCTGAGTCCCAGAGCACAGCTCGCTGTCAGCATCCTCGCTGTAGCATCCTCAACGTCCCCCCCCCGGAGCATCTCCCCGTCGACGCTGCCCCCGAGCCGAGCCCCTCCGCTCCTCCTCCCCCCCCCCCGCCGCTTTCCTGTGCGGGGGGGCGCCCCCGTGGCTCGGGGCCGGGCCTTTCCTCCCCTGGGCAGAGGGCGGCGGTCGAGATCGGAACAAATCCCCCCCTTGGCTCTCCGGGTGCGAGCGCCGTCCGACCGGCCCCCCCTTCTCGGCTGTGCTCCCACGACTGGTTACACCTCCCCCTCTCCCCTCCTCCCTCCCACATTCGGGCCGGGCGAAAGGGGGGGATAGCAAAGGGGGGGGTTGAGGATCAGCTCACGTAGCTGATCTTCCTGGCGCCTCCTGGCGCCGGGAGGCGCCCATGTATCGAGGAACGGGCCCCGCAATGTAGTGCCATGTACGTGAAGCTGCCTTGCAGCAGATGTGTACACCCCCCCCCCCCTTTCCCTATCCCCCCCTTTCGTTCGGCCCGACACATAGGATTATCCACCCTCCCGTGCCCCCCGCCTCCTCAGCCCGCCCCTACCCCTCACCCGTCACCCCGGTCCCCTGCCCCTTCCTCCAGGCACTTTTTCCACAGGCGGCGCCCCGAGGCGTTCGGCTGGACGCCGGCCCCGTCCCACCTGGGCCCCCCGAGCCCCTGCCGACCTCTGTCGGCATTCGCCTGCTCTCCTCCCTCTCCTCGTCCATGCTTCGATGCCGCCCTCGTTCCCTCAGAACCGTCACCTCTCCATCGAACAGCACAACAAGGTAAAAACAGCTCCAGACGAGGATGAGTTGGAAATACGTGAGAGAGCCGGCGGGTATAGGAAACCTATTGGGCGCGGCGACCGCCTCAGAGCGCCCTGGAACGCTCTAAGAGCGCTCTGGAAAGCTCTGGAGCGATCCTCATCCTGCAGCGAAACAGGATCATCGGTATGCGCGGTGAGAATGCTAGGACCCTGGACGCCCAAGCTGAGGCCTTTTGAGCAAGGAGATGGCCGGAAATCATGGCCAGAAGATGCACGGATGCAGGGGCGCACGTAGAATTTCTACCCATCCCGACGATCCTGATTGACTGAGGGCTGAGGGGGACGATAGGGGGAACTTGCCTGGGGGGGGGGGGGGCATTGACTTGGAATCGGCGATGCATCGGATGGGCGGGGTGAGCGGAGGAGGAGGAGGAGGAGGAGGAGACGGAGGCGGAGGCGGAGGCGGAGGAGGAGGAGGAGGAGGAGGAGGAGGAGGAGGAGGAGGAGCGCCCCCCTTGCGTCCCCGGGCGGGGTGAGCGGCCCCCCATCGGCGATCGGCGGGCGACCGGGAGCCGGGGCGCCCCCCCCCCTGACGCTGCCCCCGACTGTGAGGTGCGCGCGCTAACATGGACTGGGGATCCGTGAATCTCATCAACGATATTCCAATTGCAATTAACTCATCAACGATGAATCTCACGAATTACTAACTCCAATGAATCTCACTCATTTACTCACTCCAATTGCAATTAACTCATTACCCCCTCCGTGGACTGGGGATCCGTGAATCTCATCAACGATATTGCAATTAACCCTCCCTCCGAGTTTCCTCTTCATAGGCTCCTACACGGATTCGTCTTCACTGAGGGGAATACCCCGTTGGAAGACAGCCGTTCGAAGATCTGATTTGTGCCAGAACGCCATTCCTGGGACTTCAACGCCGCGAATCAGAGTAACTGTTGCACCTTGACGATCCTGAATCGCGCCAGAACACCATTCCTGGAACTCCAACACCACGAATCAACGGAATCAACTGTTGCGCCATGGGGGTTGCCTCCACAGGGGGAAGATCGTCCTCGATGTCGGTGTTGGTGGTTCTATTTCGGCCACCTTGGAAGCCTGAATATGATCACCATCACCGAGATCGGGATCTTCCCCCCTCGGTGGAGGCACACCGCCGATACTGGTGTTGGTGTCAACCTCTAGGCCTGCGAATCTGGCGCGCGGGCGACAAATCCACGGATCGGGGAAGGTACCCCCCGAAACGCAAGGCCAAGGCCCCCAGATTCGGTGACGGAGCGCCGATTCGTCACGGAAACGAACCCGCCGCTCATCCACGCGTCGCTAATCCGTGCCTGCGCTTGCTCAACTGCGGGCCTGCCTGGTCCACCCCTCCCCGCGCCCTCCCCTCGGCACCGCGTGGGGCCAAGCGAAGCCCATTGAGATGAAGCAGAGGCAGAGCTCGCACGCGGTGACCTCGCAGCGGCGCCGCCAGCTTGGAAAGGGGGGGGGAGCAGGCTTCGCACCGCACCCCCCCCACCGCCCCCCCCCTCCACCATCCTCCCAAATCATCTTCCTCCTCCTCCTCCGCGTCCTCCATCTCCTTCTCCTCCTCCTCATCATCCTCCACCTCCTCCTCCTCGTCCTCTTCCTCCTCCTGCACCTGCTCGTCCACATCTTCCTCCTCTCTAGTTATTATTACGGTTGCGTCTTCCACTTACGTACTACGAACTAACAGTCACATTCGTTTAAGCAGTATTAGTATGCGCATGATGATTACTCGTATGATTAATAATACGAATAAGATTACCAATCTACTTAATAATAGCATGAACGATGATAGTAGCTGTAGTACCGTTAAAACTATAAACACATTGTTAGTAGGATCCGTAGTAGAAGTATTCATGGTAGTGCTGATACGAAGATAGTAGCATGCGTCTTAGGATTACTAGTAGTATATGACATAGTGTGATTAGGATTCGTAATGCTGTGTCGCATAGTCTTGTAAGCTTCCGAATTGCAGTATGAGAATTAAGAGGAGCAGCAATACCATCATCAGTATGTTATTATGCATTGACCTGATCAGAAACTTGTTTATGTGTAGCGATCGTAGTAATAGTCAGTAATAGTAGCAGTAGCAGTAGTCATAGTAGTAGTAGTAGTAGTAGTAGTAGCAGCAGCAGCAGTATAGTAGTGGTAGTAGTAGTAGTAGTAGTAGTAGTAGTAGTCGTCGTCGTCGTCGTCGTCGTCGTCGTCGTCGTCGTCGTCGTCGTCGTCGTCGTAGTAGTAGTAGTAGTAGTAGTAGTAGTAGTAGTAGTAGTAGTAGTAGCAGTAGCAGTAGTCGAAGTAGTAGCAGTAGTAGTGGTAGCAGTAGTACTAGTAGTAGTGGTAGTAGTAGTAATATGGTGTGGTATGCTTCGTCTTACTCTTCTCATTCGTATGAATAGTCGTCTCGCTATTATGATTGAGAGTGTTCTTATCAATAGCAATCATGGTATCGCTACTGTTATGGTACTCGTAGTAGTGTCAGTGTTATTATTCTTAGTTCTCTTTCTCCTCCTCCTCCTCCTCCTCCACCTCCGCCTCCGCCGCCTTCTACTGTTCCTCCTCTTCCTCCTCCTCTTCCTCCTTCGCGACACGAGGCGTTCCTTACGCGTCTGTGAGAGAGTTGCAACGAAGTCTCGGGCGGGAGCTCCCTCCCCATGGAGCCCCCATTCCAATACACGATCATCAGCAGATAGCGTCAGAGAGCCGAAGAAAGCAGCAGAGACCAGCAGAGAGCAGCAGAGACCCACAGAGAGCAGCAGAGACCAGCTGAGGCCGTGCATGAGGAGAACAGGCGGGATGGAGATGAGGGGGGGGGAGAAGGAGGAGGAGGTGGAGGAGGAAGAGGAAAAGGACGAAGAGGAAGAGGAGAAATTGAACAAGGAGGGCGAGCAGGAGGAGGAGACGGGAGACGAGGAAGACAAGGAGGATGAGGAGGAGGCGCAACAGAGGGCGAGACTGTGGGCTTCGGCCAGGGCGAAATGGAAAAAGCTAAGAGCAATCTAAATAGATTCCCATGTGGGAGGGAGCGCGATCCACCGCGGCTATGCTGAAAAAAAATCCCTGAGGAGGGGTCAAAGAAACGGGGAGCCCTCCCCCCCCGAGAAAAAAAAACATCCCTGATAGGGGAGAGTCGGAAACCGAGGGGGACCCCCCCC